CTAACACTAAGTGAGACCAAGTCAGATCGATATTAAAGTAGTCAAATATAGAGAGGCCCTTACAGAGAGCTAACAGAAACTGGTTCACCTATCAGGATGCAACTTACTCAAAAAAGTTGAGAGAAGAGTGGATTTAGGACAAGTGACTGAGAAGCCCAACCAAAGCTCATACTTGAACCTCATAAAAGATATGTGAAGAACCCCGAAAGTGACAGTTCATAGCAGCGTTTGGCCATCTGCTCCATGTTCCAATTGTCTTGGTATCACCCAGGGTGCCAGAGGAGGTTAACGTACCCATAATGCACATGTGGCATAAAGACACGTACATATAGAACAAGTTTACATAGAGTGATGAATTATTTAGTATTACAGTAAACAGATAACATACATGGACTTAATACTATTTAAGCTGAGCAGCTGCAACAGTATCACATCTTAACATTTGCTGGTTCTTTGCCGTTTTTTCACCTTAGACCTGTAGTTCTACATCATCCAGTTCATTTCCATGTATAAAAATCATCTCACCTGCACCTCTTCACGGTGCATCATCCCCTCCCGACACACAAAAGAATTATTCCAGAGGGGGAAAATTGAAGATGATGAGACTAACGACTAGGGATGGGTACCGGTATCGGTTCTGACATAAACGGTAGTAACCAGACCGAAAAGCAGCGCACATTTCGGTGCTTTATTTCAGTGCTTCTTTTTCCTGAGCTGTGATACACTTTAGATTCTAGCCAATCGTTTCCGAGGATAGTAGGCGGGTCCAGGTACGTACGTTCTTTTAGAGCAGAGCTACAGATTAAAAATGCCCAAGGCAAAGCGGTCAAAAGTCTGGCTGTACTTCACAGCAAAAGATGCAAACTCAGCAGCCTGCAACAAGTGCTTTAAGCTGATATTGTGATACTGTCAAAGGAGGCAACACCTTGAATCCGATGAAACACCCGGCGACGCATAGCGTTTTTTTAAAAGCCGAAAAATGCGCTGTATTTGATAACTTGCTGTGAGACCTCACACCGTGCACATCTACTGCGGATGTGGTGCCTGTTATCGGACCCGGAGTTAGCAACATCCCCCAAAAACCGGACGAGTACAGTCCTGGCCCCTAGCCCTGCCAGTGTAGCAGAAATGATGACGGATGATGATGCAGCAGCAGCCGTTCTTCTCTGCGTGAGTAGCTTAATGTTGTTCGTGTGTAATTTAAGTTGAGTAGGCTAACCACGTTATTAAATTAATGCATGTAAGGTGAACTAGCAACATCATCATAGCTACATGCTGCGGTCTTCTTGTTTGATGGCAGATACTCCCTTCACCCTGGCCAAAAAGGCTAAAATGACCAAAGAAAAAGTGGAAAACAGTTAAACATGAGGTTTTTGGACAAAGTTTGTGTTCTTTCCATTGTTTAAGCACTGCTTCCAGCCAAGAGTGATACCATATATGCCCTCTAGCTGCAGAAAAGGCTAACATTGTTATCTTTTTACAAAAAAAAAATAAAAAACAGCTGAACATGAGAGGTTTTTGGACCAATTTTGTGTTCTCCATTCTTTAAGCACCGGTTTGAGCACCGTTTAAGCACCGGCACCGTTTCAAAAGTACTGATTTGGCACCGGTATCGGATAAAACCTAAACGATACCCATCCCTACTAACGACTATTATGCTCAAATTCAAACCACCAGTCAGGAATCTCCTCCTGTTTTCTCTCATTTGATAATAATGAGGGGTCAGTGTAGCAGCTCCACACACATTAATTTCAAAGTTCACATTATACTTACTGCAATGTCCAGCTGATCGAGGGGAAAAGCTTCCTCGGCAAGCAGTTGCACAGAAGAATCAGCATTGACCGTTACAGACCCACTGCTCACTGTGAATATATACACGCACACACACACAGTGTAAGTATCCACATGGAATTTGTAGTCACCTCAACTACATATGTACCATTATACTCAATGCAGTGTGGAAGAGCCCCATAGCATCCCTGATTCCTACAATTTTCTCTCGACCAGTTTTAATCACCTCACCAGATTCTCAAATATTTTAATCCCATCATACAATTAGCTGGTTTATCTATAATTGTAATGTTCTCCTCAGGTGTAATGTCAGCCAAGTGCACTCCCACATTAATAGTATTTTGTTTAGATGTGATAAAACACTTTGTTGTCGTTTTTGGCATCAACAACAGCCAAAAAGGAAAAAAGGAAAGCAGATCTTTACAAAAAAAAAACAAAAAAAAAGGAAAGTGAACATGGTTGACTGTAGTGCGGCACAAGTTACTTTCCCTTTATGCTGGACGCAGGCTACAAACCGCTTCATAGTAGACAGCCTGATAGTTTTGTTAAATGCTCACACTGTACAAAACAAGTGATCTGTGACCAGTAAATAATCACAATAAAGTGTAAGCCTTCACTGTAGCAGTCATTAATAACATCATATTAATTCGATAAGATGGTAGTTCTTCCACCGAGAGATTCGGTGTTACTGGGTGCAATAATGGAGATAAAACTGTATTATTGCCACAATGGTTAATTTAAACCCACTAAAGATTAAACAATGGTCATTATATCTGGGCATCTGTTAATTCTCTTAATTTTGTACTTTTGAGATAATTTTCTTTTCTGCTTCAAAAAATGAGACTAAAACCAAAATAAATTTATAACTATGACTATAATCTCTCTCTCTTTGATTGGATAAGTAGGATCTTGATCCTTCTTGGTGGGTCTGTCTGCAGTCATTCAATCATTTTTCCAAAGGAAAATCTTACCGAAGTATTTGGCAGAAGAGCCATCATCATTAAAGACTGTGACAACACCAGGCCGGAGCACCTGCAGGGTAGGTACGTGGGCAGGAAGGATACCGAATGCACCGGTAAGCGTGGGGACATCCACCTGTTTCACACTGGCCTCTTTGAAATAAACCTGTAACAAACAAAAACACACAATAATAACGCTTTTAAATTAAAATAAATAAATAAAATGAAACATTACACCACCACTTTAACAGAGAGCTTCAACCCACATTAACTGACAACAATTAAGTAAATATCCAGATGCAAAACTAAGAACCAGACTTTTGAAACGATCAGTGCATCACAATAACCACAAGTCTTTTTAATCCATATTAACGCATCATGATATAACAAATTTGTCTTTGCGCTTGACTTTACCTGTTGGGTCAAAAACATTGTTTATTCACATTCAGAATGTGAAGTGAACTGCACCGACAAGCTCGTCCCACCGACATGCACTTCAAGGTTAGAGTTTAGTATTTAAAACACAAGGGCTCCTTAATAGTGTCACTGAAACTTATTGCACTCCTAAAAAATGTAAATGTGTTTTAAAAAAATGGATCCGGAGTCTTAAGTAACCGTGAAGAGAGCAATGCTTTGTGAAGGACCACACACTGCTTGTCAAATACGGTGAATGACGGCTAGGCTAGGCTACACCAGCTTAACCTCCAAACACAAACGCTAGCGCTAATTTAAATGCAACCGTGCATGTACTGCTCGGGGACACAGCGAGGCCAAGGACCGGCACCAATCTGTTACACGGCCCCAAAGGTGTCATTTCATTAAAAAAAAAATTCATTCGGTGAGCCGATTAAGCTAGCTGGGCCTGAGAAGCCTAGCAGTTATCGTTAGCCTAGTACCTGTGTTGGTGAGGCGAACGTGAAGGACATCTGCGGGGCACCGGAGGCGGCCTCGGCGTAGCAGCGAGTCTGCCTCAGCACAGGCAGAGCACGGCGGAGAAATCTTGCTGCCAGCATCCTTGAAAATGTTATTTTTGTGAAGCACGAGTGAATGACAGGGATCCCCAAGCCCTTGCGTGAAGGCAGTCAGTGTGCGCTTGGTAGGACAAGGACGTCGGGAGGCTACCCATCAGGCTTTGCTGCGACGTAGAGGATGCAGGGTAGTGTAGTCTTGGGGGAAAAAAACAACAATAACAACAAAAAAACCCCCAATTGCGTTAACAATTAAAGGTCTCCCAGTTTATCCATCGTTTAAAAATACTTTGAATCACCTCCTTAGTCCCGTATGCTTTCAGTTCTAGTTGGGTAAGGTACCCTGTCTTTTACTATGCAGTAACACACAGTAAAACAGATTTATTCGGTTTGTTTTATTTGATTTTTTTGTAGTATATTTGTTTACTGTTGATTTAGCACAGTCAATATGGTGTATATTTAGCATAACATGTATAGACCTGGGATAAACTGAGGTTGTTTTGAATGTGCTAAATGTGTATTTCAGCCTTTCAGCTGGTGTTCTTGCTGGAGTTACTCGGGGAAACATTTCGAGATTGATTGGGGAAGAGTGGTTAATGTGAGAAAAATAGTGTTTTCCATATTTACTCATTAATAAATATATTAATCGTTCAATATTGTTAAATATATGCATCTATCAGTATTTATTGACAAATAAATGTAATCCCCATGGCGTCAGGAGATGGCGCCAAACCCCTGTAAAAAGCCTGCACACCGGTGTGTCGCCAGTAAACGCCTGCCAGTGTCTCTGTGTGTTTTTAATGTCAAACATATTTACATATATTGATATACAGAATGTAGTCAGTATGATTTATGAAGGGTTATACATAAAATTAAATAAAAATGGGTCGTTTTGTAAGTATCTTAATGATCCTGCATTAGTTTACCTCTGTGTCCTTGATTATAATCTATCCAGTCCTTTTTGGCCACTATGATATCTTCATAGAACTGTTATGTTATATTTTTTGGAATTTGTGCTGCCCTCTTGACCAGGTAGTTCTAGAAAAAACATATTTGCAGTGTCAGTGAGACTTTTATCTGGATATATGAAAGTCCCTTTGCTATAAACTGATTGCAACTTCTGCCTTGTGACAGGACAGTTCTTACTGACTCAAAATGAAAGATATGACTGTCTCAGCCATATGTTTGACGATTAAAGGCCAACGAGTCATGTTCATATACCAGCAGTCATTATTTGGCAAATACTGTAAATCACCGAAACCCACCGGTAGCTTGGCCGAGGGATAAAGTTTAGTTGTAGTATTCCACTCGCAGGGTTCCACAAACGCAAGCACACACACACACACACGCGCGGGCGCGAGTAAATGAGATCATATGAGCCTACTTATGCTTCAATAATTTTTCTCACTCTAGAGGTTCAGTGAGTGCATTTGCCAAAAAAGAAAAAAAAAGAATAAGTAAGCATAAGAGACACGTTTCCTTGACTGTGTGACATGGTTTATATTAACACAGAGCAGAGACACTCGGGCTTCCCTGACTCCTCTAACGCAGCTGTGGAGACTAAACTGTGCTTCAGGATATTTCTGACATCCGTCACTTGGGCTTTACCTCACTCCTTTAGTCACGTGATGCGCCTCTGACTGGGTGGTGGGCGTGTGTTAAGCGGTGGGGTTTCATTCATAAATACTTTTAGCCTTAAAGTCCACATTAAAGTGATCACGGAAGAGTTCCGCGTTATTGACTTCGCCCCTCCACTCCCGCATGGACCAGGATAGTTGGGTAGGTGAGTGCTTACCGTCGCCGCGTGCCTACTTTTGTGTGTGCTCGTGCACCCAATTCAAAATCGTGAGCTGCCTTTCTCCTCTCTGTACACCAAGATCTATGTAAACGGCTTTGTTGTTTTCTAACCAGTTTTTAAGGGTGGGCTTCATTTCCTTCGATAATGTGATTACACTTAGAAAAAAAAGAGAGCGAGATTGTTATCGCTTAAACCTTCAGTAGGAAACATCTGCCAGAGAAAATCCCCATTAATTTGTTCCAGGGAAAAATATTGCCCTTTGTAGCTACAAGAGACAGCATTCTTTATGCTTTTTCTACTCCGGCAATCTATTTTAATAAACTACTTATTACATGATTTAAATAAAACGATATCCATGCTTTGTTCTATGGAGGACGGAAACGAGTTAATATTTTTTAAAGATACAAAATATTAAAGTGAAAACGATGCACTGTATGATAGCAGTATTGCACTTGGTAATGCTTGAATTTTGTTAAGCATGACTGGATACTGACTGGTATTGCTGGGACACCTGTGTCTTGCCATCTGCTATGGGAATACTGCTATCATCGGGATTTGCAACAACGCAAAAGTAAGCAGTCCTCAGTAAAGTGTGAGGATGCACTGATTTTCAGCTTACCTTCATGGATTTCTTAATTTTTGAGTGCAGGTCAATAAAAGTAGTATATCTGTTGTTTACTTCCTGTTACCAAAGACGTGCTGGGAGAGGTTTTTTATTGCATTTATTTTAAATTGTAACTAATTTTTGATGATGCTTAATGTTTTAGGAACATCCCAAGAAGATGTTTCATTAATACGAAATCCCTACTATTCGCGGCTTGAACAATGTGCATCATTCTGTGTGTTTGTTATCAGCCATGCAGCACTACCGTCCTGTTGCTCTGAGGCCAGTGGGTCGGCCCTGAGGGGGAACACCGCTGCTCAGGCTCAGTTGGCTGGGTGCGCTGTGGTGGCTGAGGATGCAGCAAGGGAGCTGAGGAGGAGACTCCTGAGCTACAGCCTGGCACACACATTCAGAGCTGCTACTGCTGCTGCTGCGTACTGCCCTCCACCAGGGTAAGATTACTGTCTGATAGGAAGCAGGATGTGGTACAGTACTGCAAAGGAAAGCATTCTGACCACAGACTGATGTGCTTTCTGTAAAACTATTCATGCTTGGACAGTGGACGCAGGGCTTTAGATGGGCTGGCAGAAAAGAGCTCGGCTATAGCTTACAGGTTGTGGTGCTGAAGTTGAGCACCGCAGTGACTGGCAGGCGAGCAAGGCGTGCTGATTGCTGCTGGCATGTTGCTTCTCCCTTGCTGGGTGAGTAGATCCATCCAGGGTTAGTGTGTGTGCGTATGCGTGGGCGTCTGGTGCAGCAGTAGCAGAATTAATGGCTGTGATCTGTAAGAGCAAGAGCCAGCAGCGGTAGTGGAACTCAGCTGCGGGAGCCAGTATTTAGTAAGAGTTGCTGTTTCTCTCTGTTCCCTGTGTGTGCGTGTGTGTCTGTGTGTGGGGGAGGTAGATAGAGTCTTTGGACTGATATGGAATTATGGGTGATGATTAACAGCCAAGATGCTAAAGCTTACATGTTCTGTCGGACTCGACGCATGCGTACAAGAACAACATACCCATTTGGTTTCTTCCTCTTCTTCCAGTCTTTCATGACTGTTTTGAAAAGATTGTTATTTGCTGTCACTGGCTGTCACACAGATTACACATTACAATAATTTCCATGTTATTACACATCAGCCTACATGGCTGTTTTAGGCTTATATGCTCAGTATTTCTGGATTTATTGACACAGATAGAAGGCAGCACATTTGGAGGCTGACTTTGTGATTTGATGCACATCTCCAGTTACAGTCATTTCCTTTGTGTATTTGTGTGTGTTTGTGCATGTGTTATCTCTCAGGGGGACTCTCTAGTTGGCCTGGACCATGAGCAATGAGTCTACCGTCTGGAACAGCCTACCAGAAAACTCCACAGTAAGTCTGCCTTTCACCAATGGCTTATTCTCAAACTTCCTGTATGTCCTACATGTGTGTGTGTGTGTGTGTCTGTGAGACGCCCAGCACCAGAACCATACTTTCCCCCCATATTCTCTTCTGGCTGGATGACCGGCTAATGGAGAACATCCTGACCTGGACCTGAAATAATTAAATCTCTGATCTAATCTCAGCTTTGATTTCCCCTTGCAGAGAAATTACAGTGTGACGTCAGAGTCTAATGCTCATTAACACTTGCAGAGTGTTCTCCATCGCAGAGCTCAGAACAATACTCCACCTATTCATCATGTTTCTGAAATCAAGTCTATTATCCTTGTATCATTTTGTCATCTATCACTTTATTAAAATACGTTAAAGTACTGTTATGCAGCTGACATGAGCCAAATCAAACTTACGACGGGAACACATTTTTGCTTTTAAAACAGAAGGAAAAAAGTAAAATTTAACTTCAGTAACGTGTCTCCTAATGTACGCTTAATTCACTCAGCTGCAGTCCTTGCTGTGAGAGCTCTCCCATAGCTAAAGGTACACTGTAGACAGGTTAATAGCCCTGGCATGTATTGATTCATTGCACTGTCGTATTTATAGATTTACTTTATGCAGACCAACCAAACAGCAGGACTAAATCAATCCCGTGAACTCCACGGTGCGACTGCGAACGTAAAACGCCTGCAAATCTAGTCTACTACTGAGGTGTCAGGCTTTTCATGTTTCAATGTTTCAAACCAAAAGACTGTAAATCATTCAAAGTAAACCTGCACGGTGCACACTTCTGCATGGCGTTGCATATTTGGTCCAATTTCTGCCATCAGGCATGATCTGTATGACTTTATTTTAGAAAGAGTAAAAATAAAAGGTGAAAAATCATAGTGAGAAGAGTGGAGGTGTGACTTTTTTTTTCCTTTGTACCTCTGTCTATCAGCCCAGAACGACACAGCATTAATCATCAGTGAGTGTTTCAGTGCCTACTTTGGCAACACAGGAAACTTCACTTCTCTAATTTGCAACATGTTGCTCCCTCTTTTTAGACTCAGGAGATCCCACTCGAGGTTGAGGAGCAGCAGGATGGTTATGTGCTCCTCCTGGTGATCCTCTCCATCTTCTTGGTAGGAACACTGACATTCATCTCTGTCTTCCTCTTCGCTTGTCGCCGTGGAGGGAAATGCTGTGCCAGGTGGGACACAAAAATTATGTATTTCTTTTCTCGTAAAATAAAATAAAAAATCTATCTATCTATCTATCTATCTATCTATCTATCTATCTATCTATCTATCTATCTATCTATCTATCTATCTATCTATCTATCTATCTATCTATCTA